TTTTATGCATGATCTTCACTTACAGCTTCAATAAACTCAAATTAAGCTGAATTTAATGTTTTCTCCCCTAAACTCTTGGGGACATATTCTGTTGAGGTCACGTGCACTGCATGAAAACACCACCAGGGGGCAGTCTGTCCTGTAACCAGCCTGCTGAGCTGAGCGAGCTGTGAAACATCTACTTTCAGTTTGTCTTTCTGTACTATGCAGGTTGGAAACTGTGTCCATATCAGACCTCCTCTTCCTCCTCAGGGTCAGAGTCAGGACTCAGTTTTCAGCCGCCGAGACACAATTCAACTTTAATGTGCGTGTAATGGAACCAGAGCCGCCGCTCCAATCAGCCGACCCGCTGCGAGGCCAAAGGTATGTGGACAGCTGCACACTTGTTGGACATGTTATTTAAAACCTGGTCACGATTCTCACTCGACAGTCACTTTGATATGCAGGAGATTAAAACACCAGTCATCCATTTTTATCTGCAGGTTTTAGACAAACAGAGGAAACAATCAGCAGAGTGACGAGTCCTGATTAATCAGTGGACTCATCGCTGCTGGCTGAGCTATGTTTATTTCAGTTACTGAACTAAACACAGACTCTGGACTTTCCTGGTTGTATTACTCTGACAGAGTATTACGGCCATGTAAAAAAAATAAAAATCATTGATATTTTTGAGAATAAAACCAAATGATTTTGCAAATGTGTACTTTAAAATGTGTTTTAGTTAAACACAGTGCAGTGATGAGCATAAGGACAGTGAAAAGAAACAATCAAACAAAAGAACAAACACACAATCGTGGACGAGTTGGCCGAATTTGTACAAAATGAAATGGCATGAACAAATGCCAGGATATCGATGATTACACCTGCAACAAAGAGGATGCATGTTATCACAAGATATGATAGGAAGATGTTTCAAAGCAAACAAATCCTCTACAAAATAACTAATTTGACTTTTTTCTTGAGATTCTGGTTTTATTCTCAAATTGATCAAGCATATTTTTTCTTAATGTCGTCCTAATATGCTTTCTATATTACATAATGAACTCTGTGACATGACTTTCCTTCACTCATTGCACGCAGTGAACTAAGCAGTGATGCTTCAACGTCCGATTATTACTACAGGCAGTGAACTCAGCACGTAAAACAAACAAACAAACAAAAAAAAACACTTTTCTGGAGTAACCTTTGACCTTTAACTCCGTTGACTGCGTGTCAGACGTTTTCTTGGAAAATAAATCGAAATTCTCTGGCTGAGTTTGGCTCTGATGACGTCACATGACAGGTGTGCGTGGAGGAAGTTGTGCACAAACTAAAGTGAAGAGAGTTGTGATGTAGTGTGTGAGTATCAGCTGGGCCGGTTTGTGTCTGTGGGTCTACCTTGCAGGGGAACGGCAGTGTGGAGGCCACCTTCTCCATGGCCAGGTTCCGGATGCTCGGGGTGAGCGGGCCTCGGCAGGTCGGGCAGCAGCTCAGCTTCTGACGACACTGGTTACAGACCAGGTGACCCGCCTGGCACTGCAGGATAGGCGGCAGGACGTAGTCGAAGCATACCGGGCACTCGAATAGCGCCGTGAGCTCCGAGGATTGTCCGGCGAGGCCGGTAGCCGGCATGGACACGGTGGAGGAAGGGGGAGCAGACCCCGACCCGGCCACGGAGCTCACGCCGGCGGCCGCTGCGGCAACAGAGGCGCCTCCCGCTCCCCCGTGCTTCCCTCCGCCTGCTTTCCCGGCCCCGAGTCCCCCACCTCCGGCTGAAGATGGACGACTCATAGCGTCCAGCTGCGGTCCTGTTCCTGAGAGCTGCCGAACAGGCGGTACCGTCATCTACTGTTTACTACCGGACGTCCCTCGAGGCCCCCGGAGACACAACATGGCGGCTGCTAGTTTGTATCGCCTGTCGGCTCCTG